TATTCCACTTTACTTCTGGGCTGATGCTATCGGAACTGCCTGCTTCACTCAGAATTGCTCTCTAATCAATAAAATATTCTTAATCACACCTTATGAGATTCATAATAAACGAAAACCTAACGTTAATTTCGTTCATGTCTTTGGTTCCAGGTGTTTCATATTCAATTCCAAAGAGCTACGGAACAAATTCGATGTGAAAGCAGACGAAGGAATCTTTTTGGGGTACTCTCTTACTTCGAAGGCATATAGAGTTCTGAACAAAATATCCAAAAAGATAAAAGAAACCTATTATGTTACCTTTGATGATAGTTATCTAAAGAAGTATCAAAAAGCTTATTGTCCATCTGAGGAGATTTTTCCTTCGAAAAATCCAATATGACGATTCCTCTTGCAAATCTTTACGAGGAATTCATGAACTTGTTTGATGAGCATGAAAAGGATATTTATTCAGAATCAAAAGCAGCAGATAATAAGGAGGATGAACTGAAGAAAATCATTGATGACGTTGCCAAAGATCTTGGAAATGAGCCACCCATTCCGAAGGGTTCTGAAATTCCACCTCAGCCGCAAGCTTCTAATGCTCCAGTTCAGGGGAAGAATTCAAATCCCGAAGTCAACATTGATATTCCGATCCAAGGGGGAGAATTTAATTCCGAACATAGAGTCACATGCAAACATCCAGGGGAGAACGAGAATGAAAATAATGACTCTGACGCTCAATCGGAATTCGAAGACGTGAATGCAGAATAGGATCCAATTTATGATCCGAACTATCCTCCATTAGCGAAATGGACCAAAGATCATCCTAAATCTCAAGTTATCAGAGCAACTTCGTCAGGAGTTCTCACAAGAGCTCAAGAAAAAGTGAATCAAACTGCATTATTTTCAAAAATGGAATTTTGCATGTTTACTTCGTTCATCTCCAAAATTGAGCCTAAAACTGTAAAAAAAATTGCTCTTGATCATTTCGATTGGGTGCAAGCTATGCAGGAAGAGCTTAATGATTTTGAGCGTAACAAAATATGGAGATTGATCCCAACTCCGAAGGATGTATCTGTGGTCGGATTAAAATGGGTATTTCGGAATAAGCTTGATAAAGAAGGCAACATAATTCGGAACAAGGCATGATTAGTTGTGAAGGGATACTACCAGGAGGAAGGCATAGACTATGAAGAAACATTCGCACCGGTTGTAAGGCTAGAATCTATTCGGATTTTCCTTGCCTACGCAGCTCATAAAAATTTCGAAGTTTTAAAATGGACGTCAAATGTGCGTTTCTGAATGGTGAATTAGAAGAGACATTTTTTTTGGAATAGCCACCAGGGTTCGTAAACGAGAAATATCCAAATCATTGCTACATCTTGGATAAGGCTATGTATGGTCTAAAACAAGCTCCTCGTGCATGGTATGAAACCCTAACTCGATTCTTAAAACTATCCAAATTTAAACAAGGATCGGTCGACCCAACCTTCTTTCGCAAGAAAATATGGTGACCATTTAATGATCGTCAAAATTTATGTTGATGATATCATTTTCGGATCTACTAATCCTAGATTAACAGTTGAATTCCGAAAACTGATGGAAACTAAATTTGAGATGAGCTCAATGGGTCCTATGAACTTTTTCCTTTGTTTAAACATAAGACATAGTTCAGAGGGCATTTTCATTAACCAGGAGGCCTACACGAAGACCTTGCTTGCAAAATTCGGAATGGTGGGAGATTCAAAGGTCAAGGTTCCAATGGTGTTCGGAACGAAGCTCACTCCATCTTTGGACAAGCTTGCAGGTGAGATAACTCTTTATCGACAAATGATTGGTTCTTTAACATATCTAATAGCTAGTCGACCAAATATTATCTTTTCTGTTTGCTATTGTGCCAGGTTTCAGGCCAATACTCGTGAACCCCATATGACTGTTGTGAAGAACATCTTCCGATACTTAAAAAGAACGACCTCTCTCGGAATCTGGTACCCTTCCAACTCAGGGTTCTTTGTGCAAGAATTCTTCGATGTGGATCTTGGTGGATGTGGTCTCGATCGTAAAAGCACTTCTGGGGGATGTCAGTTTGTAGATGGCTAACTTGTAAGTTGGCAATCAAAGAAACAGATGTGTGTATCCCTATCTACTGCAGAAGCTGAATACATCGCAGCTGCATCATGCACTTTTCAAATCATTTGGATTCAAAATCATCTAAGGGACGATGGGATAAACATGAAGAGGGTCCCTCTATACTGCGATTCAGAAAGCGCAATTCGAATATGTCATAATCCAGTGGAACATTCTAATACAAAACCCATTGCACTGAGATATCACTTCAAAAAGGATCACATTGAGAATGGAAATGTGGAAGTACATTTTGTTTGATCCTCTGAGCAATTGGATGATATCTTCACGAAGGCCTTACCTGAATCAACATTCAATCATATTTTGCAAGGTATCAGAATGATAGAAGTTGAATCAGTTCTGAAATCGCATTCGTAATCATAAGTTACTGTTCACTTCCGAGCGTTTGCAATCATTCGGATTTTATTGTTCACATTCCGAGCTTCAGAACGGTTCAGAGCACACTATTTATCTGGGTTTCAGAAAGCTTCTATATACTTTGTATATTCATTGTCTTCTGATTGATTCCGAGCTTCGGAATGCTTCGGAAGCCACTGTTCATTTGTACTTCTAAATTTATTTTTCTTAATAATTTCATTTTATTTCTATTTCAGAAAAATCAAAAATCATAAAAATATTTTCTGTATTTCTGTTTTATCTTCTTCAGAAAGCCCAAAATTATAAATATAATATATATATATATATATATATATATATATATATATAATATATTATATATAATATATATATATATATATATTGTGTGTGTGTGTTATTTTTAGAATACATTTTTGCTTCAGGTACAAATTCTTGTTACCTCAATTCAGAACAATGGGGTAGATATATAACTCAGAATCTTTATACTAGCTAAGTGTCCCTAGAAGCATGTTGTTTCATGTTGACCTAAGCCTCCGCGACACTATGTGAAGTCTTAATGAAACTTTCGCTCAGATTGTTTCTTCACAATCAGGCTGTTATTCACATAAGTCATTGAGCTACCTTACTCTTCTCACAATGAGTTAAAAGTTGACTGCTTAGTTACTATTTCATAGCATAGGTACACTTTTCTCTTTGGGCCCAACTTATCATTTCTCCATCTCATTCGCTTTCACCATAGTAACCCTTGAGACTCTCAGAAATTTCCACTGAGGTTTATGGTTACACAACATCTGTGTTTATGATCTTAAAATCATTATCACCACGATTTAAGTGAAACCCAAAATCCGAAACCTATTTCTGAATTGACGGTGAACAATTAATATGTACTAAATTTTTCACCAAGGAATTGACGCAAATAATCTTTTGGATGGTACCCTCAAGAGCATGAAATCTCTTTTTTTTTAGTGATCTTTATGAAAAGCTCTCGACCCAAGACTTTTCTTCCCAAAAGATCCAGTTTTTATTTTTTTGAGATTTTCAAAAATAGTTTGTTACTAAATATTTATCATCGGCTTACTTGTTTTTATGGCTACACTGGTCAGACAAGTACTTCTTCCAGACTTTCGACTTATATTAAGTTTCAGAATTTGGTTGAAGCTTTAGCCACCCAATAAGCCTATGAAAAGAAGCCTTTCACTATTTCTTAATAAATAAATGATCGTAATTCAACGGGATGCCACACAAGCACCTCCGAATCTCTCTTGATTCAGAAGGAAGAGATCGTTGCCTAGGATCAATCTGAATTTCATGTCAATTTTATTTGACATCACTAAAATCCCAGAAATTTATTTGATTTATTTCTTTTTCTTTGGCACACTCTTGCACTAAAATCTTCATGGTTTTGCAAAAGTCTGGTTACATAATTCCGAATGGTTACTTTCTGTTCTGAAAACAAGTTACGGTGAATGGTGATTAATTTCGAAAGGACATAACTAAAAAGACGGTTTCCTGAGGATAAGATTTCAAAAAGGCACGTCATATATTTCAAAACTCCTGACGTCACGCATGTCAGTTACACGCCGACTAACACGAACAGTTGTCACGCTGTCAAACGCTACTTTTACGGGATATGGAAACGTCGACATGTGACTTTCTCTCTCCAATCATGCCGTATAAAAGGTAAATCAACGATTAATTTTCTCTCACCACTATCAAAGCATTCAAAATCTCTCTCAGCGAAAAACCCTCTTTCTCTCTGCACTGTTCATTATCGTCTTCAAGCTACTTCCATGGTTGTCTCATCTGAAACCACATCTTTTGCTGGTCAAAATGCTTCAGCTGTCATGCTGAACATGAAGCCAAACCAGAATCTCTGGATCTCGATTCATCCAGTTACGCTGATGCATTTAAGCCGATGATCGAATGCTTGTGTTACTCTCCATTAGCTCAATCCCTAACAATGGTTGAATATGTGCCTTTGGTTCTTTTATCCAAGGCGTACACATCTGCAAACTACAATCAGAGTGAAGGTATGATTACTTTTGAGATCGATTCCCACAAAACCTCCATCTCCAAAGCTCGGTTTTGTAGGATGCTAGATTTTTCCACTTCATAAGGTCTTGTCGATCCTGAATCAGTCTCTTCATCTTCTATCATAGAGATGTTCTATTAAGTGGGGTTATTGGAGATATCTCACTATTATCGAAGTTCAAAAAGCCAAATCTTCCTCCTATGTGGAATGGACTTTTTACACTCTTATTAAAAAGCTTTTCTGAGAGACTTACTAGGTCTGATAGTGCCAGCAAGTACTTATGTACAGTTATCTATGGTCTCTACACTGGAGTTAACCTAGATTATGGTTCGATATTATTGGGCACAAGTTGTTCAGAGCACACACTCCACTTCCAGACATTCGAAGATTTCTTGTGCTCTCTTTTTTGTCCGTCAACGTCAAGCGTGCTATTGCTCGCCTCAAGATTCCATTGGAATATGACGTTGTAATGGCTGCCATTCCTATCATGCATACTTCCAATTTTATGGTGTCTGGTCCAACCAAGTTTAGCTTCATCGGGTCTATTCCCGAAGCCATGCTTCTGAATGTTCTTGTTGATAATCGTGTTGTGAGTGAATACCGAAAGAAGCCTACATCTGGTGTTCGTCCTATGCCAAAATATCTGCAGAAGGCTATTGATGAGGCAAACAAACCAAAACATGGGGAAAGCGAAAGGGTAAGGCAGGTCCTTCCGAAACTGTCACAACTCCGAAGAAGAAAATTAAGAAGGCTGCTCAGAAACCAAGATCCCCATCCCCGGTAAAGGAGCCCTCGGAGTCTAGGACTCATTCCGAATTTTATGAGGGTGAACCTGTTCAGAACGAGGTTGACGATACTGCTGCTACTTCGGAACCACGTATTTCCACTCCAATTCCGAAGGTATCAACTCCTCATACCTCATCTACACCTGATTTTGATTTCTTTCACATGCCTACACCTCCATCTTCTCCAATTGATACCACTATTCCTATCTCTACCATTCCTCCATTACCACCAAAGATTTATGCTAGAGTCTCCATGCCACAGATCTCTATTCCTTTGACTACTCCATTCTTTACCGACTCCACTGCAACAACAACAACAACATCGGCAACGAGTACACCTGAAGTGACTGTCAACGTATCTGATACGGGGGCAGGTGCTTTCGGTGTTACTATCGGTCCAAGAACTTCCACAGTTTCTCTGCTATACAAAGAAGATCCGGAAGTTATGTATGGGGATGATGAGGATGACTTTCAGAACTTTGTCGTTAGCCCATTTACAATTCATCAAACCAGTGATGACAAAGAAGCCCCTATAAGGAAAGGGCAGTTCAAAACACTTAATGAAAATTTGGATTCTCTACTAGAGTATTCAAAATCCTCATCCAATTATGAGTATTTGCTTCAGTCTCATAAAGCATTAAGCGAGACGTTAACCAAGGAGCATGCCAGAAGCCTGTCTGAATCTACAAAAGCAGTTGAGAATTCTGAGAAAATTGTTAAGGAATTGACTGAAAGAGTTGCATTACTACATGCTAAAGTCAAACAGTTTATGGCTGATTTCTGAAGCTCATCTGATAAGAACATTGAAGGAGAAAACAATATCATTACTAGTCTCGTCACAACTCTGCAAACTGAAAGAGAAGCCTTTTCTCATGTCCGAGGAGAACTCCAAACTGATTCCTCTGAAATGGATGCTTCTTTTGTTTCAAAGATAGAGCAGCTTCGGAAGGATCTTGCCTCTGAAAACACAATCATGGATACCCTAGCTGCCAAAACTGAAAAAGTCAAGTTTCTATCTGTCAAGCTTAGTTACACAAACAAGCGTCTGGATCACTTGGAATCCGAGAAGGCGGTATTCTGAAGTTGTATTTCCGACATCAATCAGTACTTACAAAACCTTATTGAAACTTGTGACTCCATGCTTACAGTTTCAGTCCGACAGCACCTCTCAGAAAAACTCAATCCTGTCTTCGCAATGCTAAATCAACTACAGGGTGTTTCGGAAAGCAGCGTTATTCCATAACAAGGGGAGAAGAAGTTAAGTAAAAAAGAACAACCTAATCCCCAGGTTAAGAAGCCCACTGATGAACAACATGAGGAAACACCAAAGATAGATCCAAAGGTTAATGAAGATTCGGTATCTAAAGGGAAAGAAAAGCAGGTAGATGATGATGATAAAGTTGAAGAAGAAGTGTCGGACGGTGAAAATCTAATAAGAAAGAAACGTGACAAGGTGCTTGATGATCTTATGTTTCTTCGTAAAGAATTAGAAGCTAAAGAAGTTGAAGCTGAGGTTGCAAAAGTCACTCTGGCAACTCAGCAGACCCTCTTTCCTCCATGAACCTTGGAGCGAATTCAGAAGGAGGCAATCGATGATCCGAGTGTTCGTTGGTTGGAATCGTCAGTATCTGTGACAACCAGCTATTTTGGGTCAACAAAAGTCAAATAGTTAAGACAAAACGCTTTTACACCTTGTTTTTAGGGTTCTCGGTTTAGGACCGAAAAACCTTGAGATTTCGGTCATGCTTGACCGAAATCACATACTATACCGAAATCATACTAGACCGAAATTCACATGTGATACTGAAATCATACTTGGACCGAAATCACATGTGATTTCGGTGGCTCAAAGAGGGTTCTCGGTTGGAGCTTAGGCCAAAGTCACCAATTTGATTAGGTGGTGCTTTTCCCAATGTGATAAAATACACAAACCAATGCAAACATCGCATCACCCTTACCCCTCATATATATAGTAGGCCGAAAACACTTCCCCATTTTTCATTTACGTCGTCAAAACTCTTTCACTTTTCTCTCAAGAATAGTTCATACACCTTCAAATCTTCATACATCTTCCCAAGAACATCATCAAACATTCCCAGAAATGTCTTCAAAATTTCCAGGAAGAACCATTCCTTCAATAATTATCTTAAAAGATCATTGTCAGTTCCTAAACTATGTAGTGTTTTTACAAACACGTTAATGATAGTTCAACTAATTTACACACATTAATATGTGTTTAAAGCTCATAGGATGCAACCACATTCAAAGGGTTCTAACTTGAAGATCATCACCTTCACCTCGTTATCCAGTCACGAACACAACTCGAGGTGAGTTCATACCCCTACATTTTTCAAAACTTTTCCATGTTTTAGGGGGGGGGGGGGGGGAATACTAGTAAAACACAAGAAAACTTACGTCAAAACACAAATGTTTAAATACATTTTCGTACATTTTATGTAAAAATACTAAATACATGAAATGACATTACTACCAAGCTTAAGAACTTTTACATGCATAGTTTGCTAAAAATACAAAGGTTTTCATGTCAACGGGACAAACATTATAAACTATAATAGGTATAGTTTATGGGTCTTTTACGCTATGTAACCACTATGGAAGGATAATACATTCATTTACAAGAAAAAGAGTTTTCATTTCACTATACGTAAAGCGGTTAATACAATTTTGTGAGACGTCCTTCACCGTACTTGCTAGAGTACATACTAAAGTTCCTGAGTTATAACCAGAGTCTCGGTAAGAGAGTGTGACACTTGTGTATAGATCTATACAGGACTGACAATCTAACACCTAAACTGTTAGCTACTGTTAGACCAGCAGGTCTGGGTGACAAATGCCGTAACATTCTGATGCCTGAAGAACGTCGTAGCAGGCCAACTAGTCGCTAGCATGGTTATAATAACTCACATGGGGTAATAACTAATACATTCGGTTTATGGGGCTAACTTACATTCAACCAGTTTTATTTAATAATAAAACTATATTACATTATTTTACAGTACAACTGGTAGTTCCAGAAACATACATTCACCAGGTTTTACACAAATACAACTACAATACATTATTTTCCAGTACAGTACAACTTACATTTCTGGAAACATACATTCAAATGGTTTTATAAATATTAAAATTACATTATACTACTTCCGAGTACAACAATACTTATACATTTTCGGTCTTAGGGTTTCTAAGACTACAATTCACGTTAAAAGAAAATATTGGATTTTTTGGAAGCACACTTTATCATTTTCAAGGAACAATGACAGACTTTTCTCATACAAACGCTTATGAACTTAGCAACTTAATTGTTGACACTTTTTCAAAACTACTTGTATTCTCAGGAAATTAGTAAACAGGTACCCATAAGGATTTGATTTTGAAGATAGGGCGTAGTAGTGTCACGTCACATATTTTTGTCATATGTATTTAGAAATCAAACAAACAATGATTCTAATACAATGTAAAAACTTATAACTTATCAATATTATGGTTGTATTGCTTTGATCTCTATTATTCAGTTGTTATGATATTGTTCATGAAGTCATCCACCCCCAGACGTTTCCGCCGTTCTCGGTTTGGGGGTGTAACAGTATCTTTTGATTTAAATAATGCTGCCGACTCTCAGCTCGACTTTCCAATTACTCCGAAAGCCTTTCTATTCCGAGGATTTTCTCATATTGAGAAAGTTCCTCTTTCGGATTACGATGTTAAAAACATGCTTTTTAATTTTTATGTCAAGCATGGTCAGCCTCGGTTCAATATATGGAGCTTGCAGAAGATTATCGATGTGAATGTCTATGCTCTGTTTCCTACTGAACATTTCACTAATTTCAAACTTAAGGGATTCTGAGGAGCTAGTCGCATTGAAGAAGATTTCACTCTTGTTGATCTTCCATGTACAGAAAAGTTCACGTTGAACTCTTCTAAAGCTTTGATAATATTAATCATTCGACACATCTTTAATCATTGTTCTTGTTATTTGATTCACTTTACTCTTTAGAATCTATCGATCTTAAGTTTTATTGTTCCTACAGGATCACAAGAGCCTGGGGTACTTGATGGATCAGCCGAATCTGAATATGAGGAAGCGCCGATGGTTGGATGTAGTGAAGGATTACAATTGTGAGATCCTATACCACCCGGGGAAGGTCAATGTGGTGGATGATTCTCTCAGCCGCAAGGCGGTCACGGCTTTGATCCGAGGTTTATGCTTGAGGATGACTGTGATTACTCCATTGTTGGAGCAGATTCGTGAGGCACAGGTTGAGGCTATGAAGGAAGAGCACCGGAAGAGCGAGCAGATTGTGGGTCAGGTGGCTTCCTTCGATTTTGATAGCCGCGGATTGTTGACTCTGTATCGGAGGGTCTGGGTTCTATATTGGGCCGGTGTGCGCCAAGTTATGATGGAGGAGGCTCACAAATCAAGATTCTCCATTCATCCCGGGGAGATGAAGATGTATAGGGATCTTCGTACTGATTATTGGCGGCCCTGCATGAAGCGAGATGTAGCATTGTTTATGGAGCGGTGATTGACTTGCAGGAAAGTCAAGGTTGAGCATCAACGACCTCATGGCAAGATGCAGTCGTTTGGAGATTCCCGTATGGAAATGGGAAGACATCACCATGGGTTTTATCACGAAGCTTCCCAGGACCATGCGCGGAGTAGATTCTATTTGGGTCATCGTGGATCGACTGAATAAGAGCGCGCATTTCATCCCGATCCAAGATAGTATTTCTACAGAGAAGTTAGCTGAGATTTATTTTCGGGAGCTGGTGGCACGTCATGGGGTGCCGGTGCCTGTGGTTTCAGACCGGGATGTTCGTTTTACTTCCAGATTTTAAAATAGGTTTCATGACGAGATGGGCACTTGTATCCATTTCAGTACGGCATTTCATCCGCAGACCGATGGTTAGAGTGAACGGATTGTTCAGACTCTTGAAGACATGCTGCGAGCGTGCATGTTGGATTTCGGTGGGAGTTGGGATACGTATCTTCCGTAGGCAGAATTTTTGTATAACAATAGTTATCACGCTAGCATTGATCAACCTCCTTTCGATATGCTCTACGAGGGGAAACACAGGACCCCGATTTGTTGGGGCGACATCGGTCAGCTGGTCTTGGGGAGTACCGAGGTGGTGCTCAAGACCATTGAGCTGATCCAGCAGGTTCGAAGCAGACTCCAAACAACTCAGAGTCAGCATAAGAGTTATGCTGACAGGCGCCAGTCAGACTTGGAGTTTCATGTGGGAGATATGGTTCTCCTGAAGGTGTCACCTTGGAAAGGTGTCATCCGGTTAAGGAAGCTGGGCAAGTTTGGCCCCAGGTATATTGGTCCTTTCAGTGTTTTGGCTCGGGTGGGCCGGGTAGCCTATCGTCTTGATCTTCCAGCTGACCTCAGTCAGATTCATAGCACCTTTCATGTCTCCCGGCTAAGGAAGTGTTTAGTGGATGATTCCACAGTTGTACCTTTGGAGGATATTCAGGAGGATGGCCGTCTGAATTACATTGAGATATCGGTGGCAATTTTAGATCGGAAGACGAAAACCTTGAAGAACAAGGTTGTGGAGCTGCTTATGGTGCAGTGGCTACACCCTAAGGGATTTGAGTGGACTTCAGAGTCGGATGAAGAGATGAGGGAGCATTATCCCGAGTTGTTCGAAGAGGCGGACTTCGAGGAAGAAGTCTGATTCAAGTGGGGGAGAATTGTAACGCTCAATCCATGTATTATTCATTTTTGGCCCCTTATATATTAAGATATTTCTTTTTGGCCTTGTTTCGCAAGTTTGTGGGAGAGGACGGGCCATTCTTTCCAAGATTGGACTTTTGGAGGCGGAGCTCGAACGCAGGGCGTCTACGCATGGAGCTCAAACCCCTAATTTTTTGGGTTTAAGACCTATTTAAACACCTTATGACCTAGGTGTTGGCCTCATTTCCAGCCTCCATAGCCCCTAACCCTAATATCGAAACCCTAGAGCCTACTTGAGTGTTGTGAGCTTATTTTGTGAGTTTGGTGTGTGTTTGAAGCTCATTCAAGGAAGAGAAGCTTGGTGTAAGGTGGTGGTTCAAGTAGGAGCTTATAGATCTTGGTTTTCTTCTCCATTTCCAACACATTTGAGGTATAAAGCTCTAACCCTGCTCATTAGAAGCTTAGATTTAAGTTTTTATGGATTTTAGTCCCATTTTGGTCCCATAGTTGAGATCTTGTAGTTATGATCACTTGAGAAGCTTTGGGTTGCTTCTCTTGGTATTTATGATGTTCTAGATTCATAAAGTTTGCATCTTTAGTGTTGTATAAGCCCCATGCATGAGATTAAGCCCTTTTTATGGAAGTTGATTGCTATATCTTATAGTTGGGATCTTTTGGGGCATGCAAAGCCACCAAGTCAGTGACTTTGTGGTTCTAGATGTTCATTAGGAGTTGGATCTATGTTTTGGTCGTGTGGCTTTAAGCATTAAATGCTTAATAATCACTTTTAGGAATCAGTGTGCGAACGCCCAGCGTTGGTTCTGGGAACGACCAGCGTTCCGGTTGAGGCTCGGGA